TTGTTGTTGTTGTTGGTGTTGTGTAGCAGTTTGCTAAATTTAATTATTGTTTTTGTATCGTTAGCAGCTTTTATTTTTTTGGTTGTAAATCTTTTAATTCTTGTATTTTGTTTTATTATTATTATTATTATTTTTTTTTAATTTTTTTGGTTTGTCTATTTCTATATGTTGTATATATATATTTATTTTTTAATTTTCATTTATGTTTATACATATATATGGTTCAGCTTCAGCTCCGACTTACTTATTTACAAAATAGCAGTATCGCATATACATATACACAGTATGTATATATTTGGTTTAATGTATACATAGTTTTACTCATCTATACATATATATCCTATATATATGTATAATTCTTTGCTTTTTTTTTACTCATTTTAAACTTAACGGCAGTTTTGATGTTTTAGCATTTTCATGTGTGTGTCTCTCTGTATTAGTATGTATATATATGTATGCGTGTAGGTGTGTGAGTGTGTGTGTGTGTGTGAGTGTGTATGTGTATTGAATGGCGAATTAGTTTCGACCACGCCATCATTTTGTCCAGTTTCATTCATAAGAACTGCTGCCAATTGGGGCACTAACTAAATTATATGTACTATAACCTGAACCCACTGAAAGGTTTTCTCCTGCGCTGTCCTTAAGCGTTGCTTAGCTCTTTGTCTGCTGTGCTCTTCCGTAAATATTCCACTGATCTGTCAGACTGATCACTGCTAGAGCTCTTAGATTAGATGGAACTAAACACAAGCTAACTGATCTCAGAAGAGTTCGGGCTGTGGACGTCGTCAAATACATTCGCTCTTCATATATGTTTTTTCTGTGTTGTTTTCTTTTTCTTCTGCGCTTCTTCTTCTTCTTTATTTTGCCATAGGTTTTGTTTCATTTGGTTTCGTTTTACTAATATTCGACTAATATTTAATAATAGAGCATAATTTAAAGTTGAAAATAAAATTAGCAGATATTGTTTGTTTGTATGTATTGTTGCTTTGTTGTCTGTTTTGTTTGCTTTTGTTTTCGTTTCTCATTATTATTTCTTTATATTTATGTTTTTGTTTTTTAATTTTTTTTTTTTTTTGTATTTTAGCTAGCTTCTAAAGAAAGGAAGAAACTCCAATTAGATTAGACTACTAAGATAATTCACTTTTTTTTTGTTTTTGTTATTTTGCCTCCTCTGCATTCTCTTCGTTTTGTTTGACTATAACGATTGTTAGTTCTTTAATTGCTAAATTTGAACATAGGTATAAGTATTTCATATATCTGTTTTGTGTGTATGTGTGTCTGTGTGTGTGTGTTGGTGTTCGTTGAGCAGCTGTGTAAATTGTGGCTGCCGAATTTGAATTTATTAAAAAAAGACTATCGCTATTTCGACTTGTAGCTACGTTATCTTTATCAAGCCGCTGCACTAAATGTGCGTGTGTATGTATGTGTGTATGTGTGAGTGTATGTGTGTCTGTGTGTGTGTGTGTGTATGCGTGTTTAGGTGTAGTGTAGTCTGTTCTACAATTTGCTGTTTAATTTACAACTACGCTGCTTATTATAAACATTATTATTATTATTATAATTATAATTATTATTATTACTTTAATATTTGTTTATTAATAAAATTCTAAATTAGACTGCTTTTGATGACGTTTCTGGCATCCAACGTAACATTTCACTGCGCAAGTTTCGTCTGCTTTCCATTTGTTTGACTGTTTGCAAAAAATAAGATTAACACAATTAAATAGATAAACAATTTATTAATTAAAATAAATAAAGTTCGCTGAACAATTAAATGTATACAAAAGCTATGCATTGGGCATGATTAGATCTTAAGATCTATTCTTAAGATCTCTTGAAGTGATTTACAACTGAGTGTTTCCGATTCTTTTTCCTTATATGTTCAGATGATAGTTACTTCATTAATTCAATATAAAACAGATCTCTAATCTAGCTTAAAAACAAGCTTAAAACTGTTTTTCTAATTTGATTGTGAGCCAAAAATTATTTCAAAAATTCAGCTTAATCGTATTATGAGGCTCACAATAAATCATTGAATACTCTTAAAGCTTTTTGGTTTTAAACATCGCACTTTTCCGGCTTTTTAGAGAGCTTTAATATGTATTGTTTCTACCTCTACCACAATTTCTGCAACTTCACGCTAATCTATATCAATATAAAACAAAAAATCAAATGTGCTTAAAGCTTTTCATGCACCGAAAGCTATCGCAGTACAGAGCTGTCCATATTCGATGGAACCATTTGAGAGATACGCATATTTTAAAAATAATGTTAACACATATACTTCAACCAAATAATATTATTTAAAAATTTGGTTTTCTTTGGTAAAAAGAAACGTGGGTCTGTCGAATATGAGCAACCTTGTAGGGCTAACAGATGGGTACGTTGAATATGGACAGCTATATAGTTTTCATATAATAAAATATTTTGTATTATGTAGCTATAGTTGAATGAGCTTTAAGCATTTAGTTTCTTGCTCATAATGAACTTGCAGTTTAATCAGGTTAGGCCCGCTTCACAATGTCAACGAGATTAATGGAAGACAATAATGAAATTAGTTTTAATTCTATTCTATTAATTGTATTCCTATTCAAAAGCAAAACTTATTTAAAATTTCAAGAATCACATTGTTACTGAAGTATGTTTCAATTTTGGTTATTGGCACTACGTCTCAATGAGCTTTAAGAAGCTTGCAGTTTCAGTTGAATAAACTTAAAGCTTTTTGAAATCTGAAAGTTATTCCTACTTAAAATATAAACTGCACTAGACCCCATAAGAGAAGTCCGAATGAAGCGAGCTTTATTCTAAGCGAACTGATAATACAGTAAAGTTATGGGACTTTGCCAAGAAAGAGAGCCCGCACTCACCTAGTAGTCAGACGTCGGTCTCAATACTGACGGCCATTGCGTTATTATGCCTTAGTTGTAGGCTGTTAGTGCTCCTCAGGCCGTTCTGGCCGAGCTGCTGCTGCTGTCCCGGCTGGAGTCCCTGCTGCTGCTGCTGCTGCAGTTGCAGCTGCAGCTGTTGCTTCTCAAACGATTGCTGCGTTCTCAGAAATGGCACCAAGTGGCGGCCCGTATGATCAGTCAGACCTGGCGTGGTTGCATCAATGCCATCATCCAAATCCATAATGTCCGACGACGATTCGGAGAGTGAGGATTTTTTCAAATGTTGACCTAGTATGAGGAGTGGTATTTTTTTTTTTTTTTTTTTTGTGTATGTGTATTTATCAGAGAAGGCGCGTTCATTGGAAATGATATAGAAAAGGAATCGATTAGCATTGTTTTTATACATATAATACAAATGAGCGTAGTTTAGTTTTTTTTATTCTTTTTTTCAGTTTTTTTTTTTTTCTATTTTTTAGTAGTTATATATATATGTACCTAGTGCACCAGGTAAATATGAACAACTTGTAACGTGGTTGAAATTTTGGCTCTGCATCTCCTCCTGATCCGTTTCGCGGTGATAGAAGTAATTGAAATTACTGACGATAACCGGTACCGGCAGTGCGATTGTCAGCACACCAGCGATCACGCACAAAGAGCCGACAATTTTGCCCCAGAAGCCGACGGGCCTATTTGGTTAATCATTTTTTATTTTTTATAATATTATTTTTGCATTTTCATTTGCATTTATATCATTTTTTTTCGTTTTTATTTTGATTTTTGATTATTTTTCATAAGGCAATATTCAGGTATTCGATTTTTGGTATTTTGGTATTTTGTATATTTAAAGTTGGTATTTAAATATGCAAATTTGTTTTCGATTCGATTCGGTATATATAAATATATAGTTTTTTTTTTGTCAGTCATCGATATGTGTATATATGCATCAGATCATGGATATATATACATATTTTTATATATTTTTATATTTTAATATTATTGGTTTAGTTTTTATTTTATGTTATATATAAATTTTTATTTTGTTGTTGTCGATTTGGTATGAAGAAGAACGTAGAAAAAGAACGCAGTGTGTAAATAAGGTAGTATATATTAATATATTGATATATATAAAATGAGAAATAAAATAAAACACAAACAAACAGACAAAGAAAAAACAATTGGAAACAAAAGTGAGATTGTAAGTTCATTAGGTTTGAATATATCATCAAGATATCACATAAATTGAACACAAAGAACTGTTAGAAACGATATTCGTATGTTGATAAGATTTCCAAAGGAAAAATTTAGTACATCGAAACATATAGAAAAAGCCAAAAACAAAAAATTTGTGTATATGTGTGTGTGTTTTCTTTTAAATTGAGGTATTTAAAGTAGTGTGTGTGTGTCTGTGGGTGTGTGTGTGTGTGTGAGTGAGTGATTATTGTATATATATTATTGAATATATATATAAGTATATATATTTGGTATATATTGGTATATATTAGTATGTACACATCGAAAGCAAATTGCTGTTGTTAATTAAGTTGCGCTTGGATTGTACCGCTTGCACGATATGGAACTCAAAAAGTTGGCTAGATATAGAGTTGGCTAACAAAAAATCGAAAGCGTATTGCCAAAATGGTAATAAACAAAATGTGCCGGCGTTTGGCGTCGTCGCTGTTAAACTTGACAAATACGGATAAAAATGAATAGATCTATATATATGTTATGCAGGCATATATATAGATTGACAGATAGAGAGGAACAGATAGATATAGAAAGAGAGAGAGAGAGAGAGAGAGATAGAGAGTTAAACCAAAGCAAATCCGAACCGAACCGCATAGCGATTCAGCTCGAACCGGCGTCGACTTGTCGCGCTTGCAATCATCAATCAGTGCCACAGCAGGCGCGATCACTGATCAATCAATCACGCGCTCTTCCAGTTGTGTCTTCGGCAGAGGTTTGCGACGAACGCTTGCAGAAAAGAGAGTTAGTAATTGGCATGATAGAGACAGCTATAGAAGAGAGTCGGTTAGAGTGTATCGGTGTGTCTGTGTGTGTGTGTGTGATTGACTGCATGACTGACTGTTTGATCAATTTTCTTTTGTGCTTTCAACAAAATTCGTAGGTGCTCGAGTTGTGCCAAATAATGAACAGACTCCAGAGCGCTGTTGCCGTTAACAGCGAGGCGCTGTTGCCATTAACAGCGAGGCGCTGTTGCCATTAACAGCGAGGCGCTGTTGCCGTTAACAGAGCTCGCTTTGCGCTCTGTTCGCCTTGAGGAGAAGGGAAAAGAGTTTGGTGGACGTGAAGTTGTGAATGGGCTTTAAGGGGATAAGGTGTAATTGTAGCAGCTGCTTCAAATAAGTATAAATAACTATATATATATGTATATAATTAGTTAAATATATATATAGATAAGCGATTTTAAGTAGTTAGGCAAGTAAGTGGAAAATGCTCATTCGAGTAGAGTGGACTAGAGAAGAGTAGAGTAGAGTAGAGTTGAGTAGATTAGAGTATTTGGTAAAAGGTAAGCGCATAAAATCATGTCACAAATCAAAGCGTTACATTTAAGTGTATTAAATGGAGTACGGCAACAAAATCGTTAAGTGTAGCATTTGTCAATGTGGCGGTGTGTGTATGTGTGTGTGTGTGTGTGTCTGTGTGTGTGTTTAGCTGATAGTTAGTATCATATGCAAATGTGCTAAGCGTGCGCCAAGTGTTGTTATTGTTGTTGTTTGTTGTAGTTGAAGTTAACTTTAGAGAGCGGTTGGTATTTTTATTATATTTGATTTTATTTTTCTGTTTTTTTTTTTTCATATCAGTTTTTCATTTCGACTTCTTTGCTTTCGTTTTGTTTGATTGTTTTTTCTTTTTTTTTTTGCTATTTATTTTAGCTTAATTGCATTTTGCATTGATTTGCTCAGTTTGGTTTTGGTTATTGTGAGTTATCGATTGCTCGACTCTAATTATTTGATTATAGCAACTTAACGCACATGCACCGGATCGGGAAGCACAGGGAAACGGGACTTAGGAGCAGAAGCAGGAGCCGTTGAAAGCCTCAGCCATAGCCAGATAAGCCAGAGCAGTCGCTTTTCTTTCACTGTTCATTCGTTTTTCATATAAATATTTGTTCGTTTGCAAGCTGTTACTGCTGTTACTGTAATTGCGCATAATGATGTTAGCTCTTGCTGTTACTGTTACAGTTACTTGAACTGTTACTGTTACTTGTACTGTTACTGTTACTGTTGCTGTTGCTGTAGCTGTAGCTGGATTTTGATGTCGGCGGGTGCAGGCAGCGCTAAAGCGTTTTTTGTACAATTATATTTGAAGAAAACGAAATGAAAATAAAAAAAAAAAAATATAAATAAAATCGAAACAAAAATCTGAACCAAAATTAAAAAGCATTATAAGAATATTTAAATATTTATAGATATATTAAGAGAGTAGCTTTACATATTTATATATATATATAGAGTATATATAGGTTGGGTATATTAGGTAAAAATTGAAGGCTGGCCAAGTTAGCGTTTGACATATGTAAGCTCAGCGCACGAACAATTGTATAATATCATACGGATCTATATATACTTGTGCTTATGTATTCATATCTACATACATATGTAAGCACACACATACATATGTACATGTATATATGTATATATACATCGCATGATGTTCAAATCAAAGTTGAGTGCGCGTTTCCATAGTGCATTGCGTATGATGGGAACCAGAAGCCAATTCAAGTTTACGAATAGGATAACTATTTTTACGATAACGATAACGACGATAATAACGGTTACAAGACACCAGCTGGGCACACTTTTTTGTTTTATTTTCGTTCACACAACGACCATGTGGGCACACTCACCATTTGTGGAGCGGGGGGCGTGGCATCTTAGCTCAACATTCAGTTATTGCAGCATGTGTCGCATCAATGGATGGGTTTTCAGGGGTGGGATGGGGGCTACATGTCATATATCACATATATATCATGTCACGCATATCGTATATATATGTATATCTTCCATTACTCAACACTACTTTTGATGGTGGGGGACTGAACTGGTCTAGACTATGGTTGCAACTAGTGGGCGGGCATGTCGAGACTTGTACAATGGGCATTGTTTATGTAAAGTCAACTGTCATGATTGACTGGCTGATTGATGGTTGACTGATTGATTGATTGTTTGATCAATGCTACAATATTAAAGACATAATGACATCTTAAGACTAATGACTAACGGCCAGGGCAGATCTGGGCTCCCCTCGAGCCAATGAGCTCTCCCGATCGAGCCCAGTTCTGCGCTCGAGCCTCTTACTAACCGTGGCAAACCCAAACTGTAAAACCCATGCAGTCGAAAGGAGTTATCATACATACATACGCATGTATATATGTATGTATGGCAACGAATAAATACCAATATGAAGAGTATTATAAAAAGATCTACTAACAATAACTACACGTTACTTAATTAGTTATAGGAAACAAATATATACTTAGCGATTAACTAAATTACAAATTGGAATGAGCTTCGCTTGGACTGTGAGACTTCGATCTATCTTTTCTATACATATATATATTTTAATTTTTATCGTGTGTTGGATGTTTCTTTTTTTTTTTTTTTTTGGTTTTTAAATTTATTTTTATTGAATAACGATTATAAAACATTTCATTTTTAATCTTAACAACATTTCTTTTTTCTTTTTGTCTTTGTTTTTAATTGTTTTATGCTTGCGTTTCTTTTTTCTTTTAATTGTAGTCACAATATCTTATGATGCGTAATACTAATTATTTATCTTTTCTTTTCCGTTTCTTATTTATTTTTGGTTTTTGTTGTTTTCATATTTGTTGTTGCTGCATTTTCATAACTGTTGGTTCAATGCTGAATATCAATTGTATTTATTTTCTTTGGTATTTTCATTGGTATTGCTTTTGACTATTGTTCAGATTGATGCTGTGGGCTGGCCGGGAATATGAGTGGGTGTGAATGAATGCTCAACAGAAAGCAAAAAATTACTATTTCTAATTGCTTGCAGTTAATCTGGAACTTTGTTTTCTGGTATTTAAATATTACTGGCTGCAATGAGGATTAATGCTGGTATCATTTGTTGCTGTAGCTGTTGCTGTGGCTGTTGCGCGGCTAACTAAAACTAAAACTAAAACTATAACTAAACTAGTTTAAACTAGTTTTACTAATGCTCGTTATACAAAATGAATATATGCATACCTATACTCATGTCCAGGTATTCATGTTATGCAAGGCAAAGCAAACGCATAAACTAAATTATGTATAAATGATATTTTGGCAAAAGCGTTTTGCGGCTTTGAGTGAACGAGGCAGCAAAATAATGGTCGAAAAAAAAAATGTTTTTACTTTTATTTATTGAATTTATTTCGTTTTATATATTTTATAATTTTCTTTTATATTTTTAATATTTTTAAATCTCTATTTGCAGTCTTTGTCCTTAATAGAAATTTTGTTAGGTTTCGTTTCGTGTTCTTTTTTTCGTTTTTTTTTTTGTTATTTTTTTTTTTAATAATATTTTTTTTTTTTTTAATTTTTTTGTTTGACATTTAATAATTCTTGAAGCATGGAGAAGAGTGAAAGTTGTGCTTTGTTTTGTATTTGATGTTGTTGGTGTTATTGTTGTTGTACGTACTTCTTATTAGATTTTTTTTCTGATTTAGTATTTTAGTATTTTTAGTAAACATGCATGTAAGTAGGTATATAAGTATTGTTTGTATTTTTATTGTTCAATACATATTTTTACGTTAAATTGTTTTTACTTTATCAATTTTTGTTCTCATTTCTTTATTATATTAATTTTGTTTTTTGTTTTTGTAATTTAGTAATTAAATTTAATGGAAAACTTGAAAAGATTGTTTTGGGTTTAAATCGAGGATTAAAAAAGAGTGTTTCGCCATTTTCTTATGTATGTGTATGCGTGTATATCTGTGTGTGTTTTATTTGTCATGTTAATTTTTTTTTTTTTTTTTTTTTGTATTTATATTTTGAGAGTTAAATATGCGGTAAGAATAGTATTTATGTATGTATTGTGTGTTGAGTTTATTTGTAAACGATTTTGGTATTAATGTGCTTCTTTTTTATTTATTTTTTGTTTTAAATAAATTTGTCAATTATAGTACTTAGTTGATTAACAACGATATGTTTGCTTCTCTTCAATTTTTTTTTTTGTTTCAAATTGTTTTTCTTCAGCTTTTTTTTAGTTTCGTTTTTGCTTTTTCCGTTTTTGTCTTTTTCATATTTATTAGTTTTTGTCGTGTCTGGCATATCTCCTTAAATACTGGTAGCTGAGCACCACTGTACTCGTACTCCCAAGCACATTAAGTTCTATTAAATATTAAAAAAAAATACTAAGTCGAAAAACCAATCAAATGCATTCATTTCTTTTCTTTTTGTATTTAGCTCTAATTGCATCTAGTTCGCTGTGTGCGTGTATTTGTCTCTGTATGTGTGTGTGTGTGGGCGCTTATGTATGTTGACTTTTATAGTGCAGTACTCTAGCCTACATATGTTAAACTGGAATCTTGGAAACACTTGAAACATTCACTTGAATACATTTCTACTAGCATTTGACTTGAGCGAATACATTCGAGTGCCTTAAACGGAATGAATATGTTCTAAAAATCAATAAATGATTCGAATAATATACTTATAAAAAAGATTACCAATTGAATTAACTTTCAGGTATTCTATGAGCACTAGACTTGGAAATCAATCATGTCTCACTGACTCTAGCGTGTTTATACATATGCATAGTACTACGAGCTAGTAGAGAGACTAAGTGATTTGTAGTGGAGTAGATTAGATAGTTAATATTTGTAACTGTTGTATGGATTGCATGATATGATATGCTACGATATCATAAACACATAAGAGTAGTATATATGTATATACTACATAAGTATGCACATATAGATAGATTGGAGCCGTAGCTTGAGCTCGAGTAATTTACGTAAAATACGTATAATATATATACATGAATGCGTATGTGTCCTGTCATTCTGTGTGTGTGTGTGTGTATGTGTGTGTGAGTTTGAGCGCTGTTGACATGTTAAGTATTAACTAAGGAGTTTAAGATAGTCTACAACAAATTCAACTGACGATGGCTAAGAATACGAGGAGAGTTTCTCTGCGCACATACAAAAACCAATTACAATTACTATTACGATTACGATTAGTATTACGATTACGATTACAATTAGAATTACATATTTACAGGTCGGATTGCAACTGTTGTACAGTTTTCAAAAATAAAATACAAAAGGATTAATTTTCTTCTTTTATTTTCATATATTCTTTTTCTTTTCTGTTTCGCATTTTCTTTGGGAGGTTTGTTTTGCTTCTTCTTTGGTTTTTGCTGTGAGAATTTTCTTTTTGTAGTTTGTGTTTTATTTTTTATATATATAATCTTAGATGAGCTATGTATAATTTTTGTTAATTTACAATGTGATATTGCAGTGATGTGGTCTATATTTTTTGCTCTTTATCGGGGACTTGCGTTAAATGTATTTACAATATTGAATTGTTTACAATTTGTTTAAATTTAATTAAATTAAATGTTTGTGTTTTTCCTTTCTTTTTTTTTTTAATTTTATTTAAACATATAATAACATTTTTTTTGGTTTTTCTTGTTTTTTTTTTTTTCTGAACACATTTATTCCAAACTTGCATGTTTTGTTTCTTTCTATTTCGGGTTTATTGTTATTCTTCTATATTTGCTTTAGCTAGTTTCCTTTTCTATCTTCTGTTCCTGTACTGCTTCTTGAAAACTCTGCCCTGAAAATAAGAATTTGCTTTGCATCTCTTGTTATTCCTGCTCAGATCCTTACTTCATTATACTTTATATTCAATTTCCTAGTTTATTTCTAAAAAAAAAAACAACCTTATTTTACACACTTTTTGTTTTTTTTTTTTTTCTTTTTTACTTTTTGTCCTAATGCTAAAATCCTTCACGCTAAATCATAAAACTTAAATTACATAAGCGAATTCTTTCCTTTTTATAAATAATAAAAATTATTCCTAGTTTTTTTTTTTTCATTTATCTTTGTTGTTGCTGTTGGTGTTTCGCCTTAAGATGTCTGGAGGTTGATTTCTATTTCTATTTTTGATACAGGGTGTTTATTCCTTCTATTTGGTTTCTGTTTTTCAGTGTGGTATATCTAGATACAATAAAGTATACATACATAATATAATATACATCGTATGACTGTTTGCAACTGTTGCTAATTTGTAGTTAGATTTGTTAGCTTTGTTTATTTCGCTTGATCCGTTTATGCTTTGCGTACAAAATACCTAATTTGCTGTGTCGTGGAAAGGTTGAAAGTGTTTCTTTGAGTGTATTTACAGCAGAGTCTTGGGCACGCTACAGTGCAGGCTGGCATTGTGTTGATATGGTTAACTATTTTGCTTGGTTTTGCTTAGCTACGAATTGAATAGTTCTATATACATATCTGGCCTGATATGAATGCTTGTCTTGAGTTTGTTTGGTTTATGTTTCCCTCTTCAATTGAACTTAAGGCTGACTTGTTCTATTTGCAGCGAGCTTGCACTGTAGCATCACTAAGTTGTGCCTAGTCATAATTTATATTTTGCTTTAATTTTTAAAATTTTATTTTATTTTTTTCTTATTAGTTTATAACAATTTTCGTTTTATTTTTAGTTTATTAATTTATGGTTTTTTTCTGGCAGTTTGCTTGCCCAGACCCAATCATAAGTAGTTGGCAGCTGTTGCTCTGTGAGAAGCGCAGAGAAGGGTTCCTTAAGGCACTTGCACTTGCACTCGAACAGCTCCCCTGCTGCTTGACCATAAACCACTTTTCAGATGTTTCTTCATTCTTCTTCGGGCTCGTCACAACAACAGCAGTTAACATAAGTTGCCAAACTCTCTGTGGATGTGTGTGTGCGCGTGTGTGTGTGTGTGTTGACATTGTTGAGGATTTAGTATGGTAGAGGGCCTGCTCATTCGCCTGTACTCTGCAATTTTCGCTACTCGTGTGTGTATGGCTGCGTAAGTGTGTGTAAGGTGGGAGGGCGGAGAGGGGGTAGGTCGGACTTGTAAGTGTGTATATGTGGACGGTTCTCAAAGCTTTAACGTTAACGCTTGAACGCTTCTCCATCTTACCCTTGTCGCTTCGTTTTAAACAAAATAATTTGCAATGTGCCCCAAAATACCCTTGCTGAGGGTCCTATCAAATGGCAAGAGAAAATAACTAACGATAGAATATGCACATCTCTGGCAGTATCAATCGGTCGATTCGAGTGCTATTTAAATTAGTTGTATTCGGAATTCATTTGCTCCCATCTTCTGATAGCGAGAGAAATAACTGGGTAGACCAACCTCTATAACTTGGCTCAGCTGACTTCAGAAGGAAGAGTATTTGTTTATTTTATCAGCTCAGTTGAGTTTTAAGCTCAATGCAATTTTCTTTTCGTTTCTGAACAGTTAACTTCTTCAGCTAGGGTATTCAATATACGGCATGCCGCATCATGGCCTCTTTCTTTATAAATATGTTGTTCTTATTTTTTTTTTTAATTTTTTAATCTCTTTTTTTATGTACACATACGTTGTTAGACATGCTTGTACACATACCCAAACATATGGGCCGCTATCTATGCAGATATATATAGCTATATACGTATTATTATACATGTGCCTATAAGTAAGTACAGTCCGTGCAAATGCACAGTGTTTCAGTCGACTTGCTCATGTATTATAGATAACATTTTCTATATTATTTTTAATATTCTTTGGTTTTGGTAGACGGCATTTGAAATGTAATGGGCGTGGTCGTTGGTCGGGGAGCGGGCGGGGTCATGTCACAATGTCAACACCAGCACACGCTTACACGAATGGCAGAAAAAAAGAAATAGATGTAGTAGGGAAGTATTTCATCTATCTAGAAACTCATTCCATTCGGGCTGTGCGGCAAGCAAAGTTTTTGGGTAAATGTTTTGCTGCTTTGGGGCAGGGGACTTCAAATTTGTGACACTTGCTGCACATAGTATGCCTATATGTCTATGCCTGAGTGTCTCTCTGTGTATGTATGTGTGTGTGTGTGTGTGTCTGTGCCTCGGTTTTATGTACATTGAGAATTTGCTTGTTTCCTCACAAACAGTTTTATATAGTACATCATGGTTTATTATAAAATCATAAGAGCCTTTGCTTTCTTCTACTTTGTTCTTAGTTTCTTTTTGTTTATTTTGTAATTAATTTATATATATATATATATATGGATTTATGTATATATATTTGTTTATTTCACTAATGTTTCTTTAAGTTTGGTTATCTGTATTTCTTTTTATGTTCTTTGATTTTAAGTTAATATCAATTGAATTGCAGTCGATTTTTGCTGTTGTTCTTGTTCTTGTTGTTGTTGTCTTTAATTAATATCGTGATAAATTGTTTGCGATAATGAATATTTGTACTTTTTATTTCGATTTTATTCGGGGGGAGCTTTAAGCAGAAGGTTTTCTCTTTATACATAGTACATATATAGAACAGCAATAACTGTGATATCTCTCTTCTTAAATATCGCCATGGCGGGCAATCGGTCGGTCGGTCGGGCGGGTGGATTTTAAGTTGAGCTTGGTTTAGGTTTCTTATCTTTCGTTTTTGTGGGAGAGTTGCAGACTGAGATAGTTGAAAAAATGCCAAGGGATCGAGATTACTTTCAAATAGAACTCCGTGGTCTATATACTGGGTTTGCTTTAGTTTGTCGAGTATGTTAAAAGCCTATATATGTGTATATATAAATATATTCTATATATACATATATATATATATATTGTATTTCATGAATTATCTGTTAATAACTATACATCATTTCTGTAATCATATATGTTTAATATTACGGCAGTTTTTCTTTGACTATGCTTTTAATTCATCTGACTGTGTCTCTGTGTGTGTGTGTGTGTGTGTGAATTAGTGTTGTGTAACGTGTCAGTTTGCATAACTAGACTCTTTAGTTGCTGTACCCTGCATGAGCTTTGTCTTATAGCTACTGTTTCCAAATGCCTCAGCCCCACCTACAAGGAACTGAACTATTTTAGGAACTATTTACGACTAGTTCCAACTTTGAACAAGTATCTGGCTATTGTAGTCTGGCTGGAACAGCTTTGAGATGGAACTCTCCAAGGATCTGTTGTGAACTTCTCATGTCTCTGCATTTGTGACTGTGTGTAAGGCCTACTTTATGCATTTCCCTAGCTTTTGCCATTATGTTTTCCCTCATGGTAGCCGGGTTCGCAGTTCTGTTGATTTCTATTGTGTGATTCAATTAAATTTAATTAGCTTTTCCTTTCATGTTTCTTCAACTTTATTTCATGATGTATATAAAGTTTATTTATTATGATTTTTTCGATGCTTTTATGTGTTTTAAATTTAGGTAATTCTTTACGCATTAAAATATTAATTTTATATTTATATATTTATATGTATATATTATTTTATTTTACTTTTTTTTTGTATTTTATTTTAATTTTTTTTTGCCTTTTTGTGTTTTGTTAAATTTTAAATTTTAGTTTAATTAAATTAATTTAAATTTAGCAATAGTTTAAATTTGTTTGTTATTTGTTCTACTTAAATTAAACTTAAACAGCTTTTGTAGTCGTTTCTGGCATCCAACATAACACTTGACAAGGCCAATCTTATACCACTTAACATCAATTTAACTGCCCCACGATCAGTAGATATACATATTCGATATATAGTTATACATATATAGACATATACCAGCCCAGGGATGTGACAGATACATAATACATACAGATTATACACAATCATATAATAAAATTTAATGTTAATAGAATAGAATGGGACATACGTATATGGGTCATATCGCGTGGGAGGGAGCAAGAGAGCGCGCGCGTGGATAGAAAAAAAAGAGAAAATTGTTTAATTTTTATAAAAAATCTGTGATTTTCAATTGTTTACGAATTTATAGAGAGATATATAGAGAGAGAGTTATTTGGCATACGACTGTTCTCTTTGATATTCATAAATGGTTCAGTGACGTTAGCGGAATGTGAGCCAAGTTACTAGTTCTATTAGTGTTGGCAAACTAATCGAAATTGGGCTGTGGCCCTAAGTAGTGTTGATAAATGATTTGCTATGGCAGCTTACCTTTACAATACTGAAAGTATTTTTAGTATTGCATATCACATTTAGCTAGCATCATTGTGATTGAGTTGTGAAATTGAGTTTTGTATGACGTTAGTTGTGTTGCATTGCTGCCAAATTTATCGACATGTGCTGCTTTACCCGATTTATCATAGCAACACTCTTAGAGCCCAATAGAAAATTCCATTTGTATTTTGAGTATCGAACATATTTGCTAGCTTCTGGTCAATATTGATGAATATACTACAAGGTTAACCGCTTTAAGCTGCCCACAATTCTAGTGTTGGTAAATCTCACATTCAGCTAACATCATACTAAAGTTTCTATGGTACACAATTTGTTGAAATTTGGATATTTGTGCAAGCGAAATAGGAATCAAGAGTTGTGCTCAAGACAGAGAGATGGAGAGACAGAGAGAGAGAGAGAGAGAGAGAGAGATAAAAAGAGAAAGAGTAAAAAACAGAGGGTAGGGATAAAAGATAGAAATATAGCTCTAGATAAGCATGTGAAATGCTTTACATATATGAATTGAGTGGGGAGTCAAAGGGAATCTTTTCTTTTATTTCGGAATGACTGAGAAAGGGAGGTAGAAAGAGAGAGAGAGGAAGGGGGAAGAGGGTCAGACAGACATAGAGAGAGATAGAGAGAGAGAGGGTGTGTGTGTGTGTGTGTGTGTAAGTGAGTCAAAGCGAACACTTACCCAGTAGTCAAACGTCGGTCTCGATGCTAACAGCGAGCGCATTGTTGTGCCTCATTGTGAGGCTGCTCCCGGCGCTGCCCGTAGCTGCGCTGACGCTTATTGTTGACTGCATTTGCTTGAAGCCGTTCTGCTGCTGCAGTTGCAGCTGCTGTAGCTGCTGCTGCTGCTGCTGCGCTGGCGGCGGCTGCAGTTGCATCTGTGTGGCTCCCAAAAATGGAGCTGCTCCATTGCGTCCAGGATGCGTTTCAGTTAATCCTGGCGTCGATTCAACACCATCATCCAAATCCATCATATCCGATGAGGACTCGGACAACGATGATTTCTTCAAGTGTTGACCTACTTGTAGTTTTATGCATTTGTTTAGTGTTGTTGAACGTTGTTTGTTTGTTTGTTGGTTGTTTGTAGTTGTTGTAGTTGTTGTTATAGTTGTAGTTGTCGCAGTGTTTAACAAAATTGAGTGTGCGTATGTTTGTTTGTATGTGGGTGTGTGTGTGTGTGGGTGTGGGTGTGTGTTACAGTGACATCGAGCGTGGATGGATAATGGAGGGGAGAGGCATGGATCGAATTGGATACGTTTGGGAAGTGGGGATGGGTAGAAAAAGGCAATACACATATAGAATATTGGATGACGGTACGGTTATCGGATTGTTGGTAATTATTTCATATAATTTGATTGTTTTTTTTTTCAGGTTCAGGTTGAGGTTATATCGATATCGATAGAGTTATCGATCGAATTTGCATTACGATTTGACGGAATAAAGAGAGAAACAAAAAGAAGAGAGAGAGAGAAGAGAGAAAGAGGAGATCACACATACAGTTGTAATGTATTAATTACAAAAATGCTTTTGTTGTATTTATTGTTTACACACAAAACACACAGTACGTGTAAGGTACGTATTTGGTAGGTCCATGCACAGTACACAGTGTTGCCCGATGCGAGCGCCCGGGCGTTGCCACCTGTGCGCACATTTGGCAAGACGGTGTGCGGTGATGCGTTCGTGCTGCACGCACCGCTGCCAGTGTTGCCTCGGTGGCAACACTGATTCGCCAAGTACGGCAACGCCGACGCATCAAGCATACGTCTAATGCCTACGATTCGTTCTTTCTTCGTAAATGTTTCTATTTTTATTCAAATTGGATTCTATTCAGTGTTCAGTAGATATGCAGGCGACTGTGTGTATGTATGTATGTATGTGTCTGTGTCTGTATCTGTATCTGTGTGTGCGTGGGCGTGTGCGTGTGTGTCTACGAGTACAAGTGGAGTTTATTGTATCTGCTAGTGTGTGTGTCTATGTGTGTAGTTGATGTGATTTTACTTGGCAATCGTCCAGTCGAATGTGATTGTGATATCGAGTAGTAGAGTGGAAGATGTTCGAGGCACAGTGCACATTTCAACTTACCTAATGTACCTGGCAAATATGGACAACTAGTAACATGATTAAAGTTTTGGCTCTGCATCTCCTCCTGATCCGTTTCGCGGTGATAGAAGTAATTGAAATTACTGACGATAACCGGTACGGGCAGTGCGATAGTCAGCACACCAGCGATCGCACACAATGATCCCACAATTTTGCCCCAAACGCCGACGGGTCTGTTTTTATCGTTTATCGTGATCGATATCAATTTCATATCATTTCATTTCAGTTGGTTTGCATATCGTGTGTCAAACGAATTTCAATGCGTTTTTTGTTTTTGATTTTCAAATTCCAATTTTTATTCAATTTTCCATGAATTTTCCATTTGAATTTTTTGGGTGTTTGGTTGAGGTTAATTATCGGGTGATATATTTTTGGATTTTTATTGGTTTTTTTAGCGAGTTGTTTTGTTTTTTGTTGTTTATTACGATTATAATTTTTGATTTGATTTGTTTTGTCGTTAAATTGATTTGAGGTATAGATATATATATGCAGATATATATATTTATATATATATATATAAATAGATTTGATTTTTTTTATTTTTGTTTGTTTGTTTTGGATGATGCGAGCGATGTTATCGAACGAACGATAAATAAAATGAAAATACAAATATATAAGAAATGTAAAGTAAAACTATCGATTCTTTTTGTCAATTTTAGTTTTTTGGTTATGCTTGAGATACATTTTTGCTTATATTGTATACATATATATAATGTATATATATATAAAACATATATATAATATATATATATGTATATAAATATATTGTCTTTTCTTGGATTTTTCGATTGCATTATAGATAATGTACGTATACAGATACGAGTATATTTGGTTATAGGCAATAGCAGTAGAAACAGTAAAACGAAATAATAGTTTAGCAAAGAGTACTCGAAATTAGGCACAACACTTAGAACGAGTAGCGTTACGAGTGGTTTTTGGTGAATTCTATATATATAAATTTTTTGTTGTTTGGTTTTATAATATTTTTACTTTTATTTTATTTTTGTTTTTGCATAGGCTTTGGGTTAGGGTTTCCTTTTTTTGTGGTTGTTGTTATATATAAATATATATTCATATATAACGGCATAGTTGTCTGTATATGTGTGAGTGTATTGGTGTGTCGTGTGCGCGTGTGTATATACATATGCAATATAACATTATAACGGGCGAGTTATACAGGTGCACTACGTGTTAAACAGGGTGCAAGAGTGATAGGAACAGATAGAGATAGACTGAGCGAGAGAGAGAGAGAGCTAGACAAAGGACAGGTAAATAGAGAGAGAGAGAAAGCAGAAAGTTGTGTTTGGTTATGTGTGTGTGTTACGAAATGTGCCAGAACTACTCAAAGTTAGGCGCAACTTTTAGTCGGGGGCGTGGGCCGTAGGGGCGGATGGGTGGTCTTAGGTTGTTTGGACGACAGTAGCATGTGGTAAGTAGCGGTTGCTCTATTGCACGAGCAGCGGCAGATTGTTTTGGCATAGTTTGAAGGCGTTGGATTAGGAGTTGACGACTTGGGTATTAGGCACGGTTACGGCTGACTAACTTTGTGCGCGCGTGTGCATGTACCTGTATGTGTGTGTGTGGGTGTGTGTGAGTGGTGGGCGGGAGCTGGGTGGGGGTGTGGCTGTGTCTGTGTCTCTGGCATTTTGCTCCTTGGCATAGGCATTTGGCATATATACATATGTATGGGGGACATGCAGCATGCGTTCGATAAGAGCAGAGCTAAAAGAATATTGCGCAACATGTGTTATTTGTATCGGTTTGTCTATCGATCAATCGATCGATTCGCTACAGCCACGGCCAGGCAGTTTCTGCTGCGGCAAGCATGGCTTGGCATGCTGCACTATATACGCAAGTCGAGTTAGATACAATACTATCAACTGCAACTGTATATAAATGCATGTAGGTTGATATGGAGATCAGATGAGGCTACCGAGTAAATTTATCGATAACTAGACACTGCATGAGATGATTCTGTCTGTGTTAGTGTGTGTGTCTGTGTGGCTGGGTTTATTTTACTAGTTTCTTAGTTTGGACTTTATGTGAACTAAACAACGACACAACGTTACATCGATAATGAATAGAAAAACTGATTAAATAGAGCGTTTCTAAACATTGTTCGTTCCATTGATGTCGCTTTAGGCAAAGGCACATTTTGAGCAATTGGATTCAACTGGGAAAATTGACTTTGCTTAAGGCTGTCGTTGAGTTGAACCATAACAGAACAGAACGGTACGCAACGGAACGAAATGGAACGAAACGGTAATAGAATACTTTGGCAACGCAAAATTGGTATTAAGTAGACAGTTAGAGGTACATAGACAGGTAAATAAGTGTATGTATATAGAGTATACGAAAAGGAAACGAAACAAAACGAAACGAAATGGAACTGGAAATGAAACAAATCGAAGTGGAATGGAACGTAATAGCGCAACGAGTCAAATCAAGTTTAGCAATCGCAAATCAAAATCAGAATACGTAACGCAGAAAGCAAACGAATCTTGAAAAGCCTCTTCTTCTTCAACTTTTGGATTAATTGAGTATTGTGAGCTTTGGTTAGTTTGTGATAAGAAGTAACTAAAGAGCTTGGCTTAGCGAAACAGTTAATAAGTAAATGACAACACTTGAGCGCAATTAGCACGCACGTTGAACGAACGAAAGAGTTGTAAGTGTAATGGAAATCAAACTCAGAATGGAAAACAAAATCGTAAAGTCGAACGTAAACAGAATCGTAATCAGAAAAGTTAGAATTGTAATTGTATAGATTTGCATACGTCATGTCACCATATCCAACGGTGGTCATGGTAACGACTGCCCACCAAAATGCATCGGGTATGGACTTGAAGAAGGAATTTTCGCTTCCAGCTTCCGCAAAATAAACCGCTGATGAGAAGAGTACGACGCCTAAAAAAATTGATGGGAGAAAGTGCTTTGCATTGGTTCCGACTCGATAAATTCATAAACATAAGTACATTTTTTTTACTGTATCAAATTAATATTTCTCTTTTTTTTTTTATTAAATTTTTGATTTGTTTTTTATTTTGTTAAATTAAAAAATATTTGAAATTAAAATAGTTTTGTATAATGGAGATTCGGCTTGGCGTCCGGGCAAGTCCTTGTCTGTGATTAAAAGTCTCAGGCTGGATACGTATGAGCGGTCCGGCAGATAATTCTTTCTCTACGTGTAACTACGTATATATATATTTATTTATGTGTGTGTGTGTGTATGTGAGAGTGTGTGTCTGTTCTGTAGAGCGTGCTATGCAATGAGTTAACGGACTAGCTGATGAACCGGCTAAATAGCGGACAAAGCGGAACAAAGTTTACAACTGAATCCGGAACCGGAACCGGTGCCGGAACGTTATGACATTTATAGTTATGACTGCAACGCCATTGCATAGCATGCTTTTCAGTTCGTTAGACGCCTAGAATGAGAGAAATGTGTGTCAGTGTAGTAGAAAGAGAGTTTTGGAGTCTATGCAAAAATAAACTGAGCCACGACAGTCCCAAGCAGAAAAGAAACGAGTGGGCAGCACTGTTCAAGAGCAATTAATCAAATTCTGGTTTCCGGTGTGCCAAGCCCCTGGGTCTAGAAATATGGTGATATTGCAGTCTGAAGAGCATAAAGAGAACGACAACGATGACGACGACGACGACGACGATGACGACGACGACGACGACGATGACGATATGAATTTGAGTTCAAGTGTTGAGTGTTTTATATGTTTTGTGTTTGGCATTCGACTATGGATGGTTAGTTAATAATTCTGCTTGGGGGACATTTGGGAAAAATCAAGATGGGAACGAGACAAACGAAATGGGAGAGCACGAGAGAGAAAATTGATGTGCAGAACATGCCAAAAAAAGTTCATGTAACAAAAGAGCAAACGAAACCCAGAACTGGAAAGTAAATCAAAAACCGAAAATCTACGAAAATAACAAAACAAATATACAAAAAAGTCACTAATTAAAAGAAAATGTTTAAAAAATGAAGAGAATAAATTATGTATGGAAAAAGTGCCTGGGTAATGATATCGTTATATAGACGACGAGGACACACAGAGTGAAAGTGAAGGGAAAAGAGCAGGACAGAGAGCGCGAGAGAGCGATAAGGAGCATGGATTACAACGAGCGATCACAACAACAAAATACGACAAGGAACAGAAATAAGGCTATACAAGGTACAGATAATACGATAAGAAGATACAGTTATGGATACACAGAGCAAAGTTATAGATACAGAACTTGTTATATATAATATAAGTAGTAGTAGGCAGTTAAGACATATATAGTAAGGTATTTATATATACATATTTGCACAGGAAGAATATGACGGACGATACCGAGCTGTTAGGACTTCTTAAAATACCCGATTTATCTGAGACACAGTTAAATAAGAACCGAGATAGGACAGATAGATGAATGAAATTTGGATTTGTAATAAAAAAATATATATTAAAACAATTAAAGAGAGAGTGAAAGGCTATTTGGAATTGATAAGAACTCTATGATCCGCATATGCGATTGTTATTCTCTTAGATATACTGGAGATACTCGAAGATATAAAAATACAATTGTGAAACATTGTTTGGGAGTTTGAACGAACTTTAAGAACGCTATGTGATAACTCTTTTGAGTGAACATTATTGCTCAAAATATTCCCAGGGCAATGTGCGGAAGGAAAAGAAAGAGAGAGAGAGAGAGAGAGAGAGAGAGCAAAAGAGATAGAGTAAGAGAGAGAGATAGACGTAGAGAAAGATTGAGATAGAAATGACATGAGCTTGATTTATTCTCCTAAATATATATTCATTGGACAGTGAGTAACTTAGCGGACATGAATATATATAATATACAAAAAGGGACAGAAACATGTACAAAATATAAACAAAGAAAACATGACAGAAAGGACACAGAGGGACGAAGAAGAGATAGAGAGAGGTAGATGGAGGATAGAAAGATAGAAAGGAAATAGAGATAGAGCGAGAGACACCGCTAGAGTAGTTGTAGCGTTATACAATACATGGAGAGCAGTTAATAACTTGGTTAGTTCAGTAGACACACAAATAAGGCAGCACAGTTGTTATTAGAGTTGGTATTTTGTTGTTGTTGGTATTTTGTTGTTGCTATTGTTATCAATTTTGGATTTGGAGATGTTGATGTAAGTTTTAAGTTGTACCTCATATCACCATATCCCACCGTAGTCATGGTCACCACGGCCCACCAGAATCCGTCGGGTATGGACTTGAAAAAGGAACTTTCGCTGCCAGCCTCCGCGAAATAAACGGCCGATGAGAATAGTACAACGCCTGGGCGCAATTTCAAACAGAGATCAGGCGATAGATTAGTTTCAGTTTCATTAAATATTATATATATATATATATATATTAATATACACATATATGTTGAGTGGAATATAAACAAAAATTATGATATTGACAAAAATAATAATGGTATGGAAAGACAGGCAGACAGATAGGTTGAGAGAGAGAGAGAGAGAGATACAGACATAGAGGTTGATATATAGATATAAATAGAGAGAAAGAGTATATTTCAGTTAGTTTTCTGCTTGGGTCTGAGCTCGTTTTAACCTGCTGGGGAACTGTTTAATATATAAATATTAACATATATACATAAATATATATGAATGAGAGTAGCCTTAAGTGTACAGTATGTGTAGAGTGCTCGCTAGTCGACTATAAGCGACTAGGAACTCATTTAAATTTTTAGTAAAATATGGTTTGTGTATTAAAAAAAAAAAAAAAAACTGATTGGAGAGAGAGAGAGAGAGAGAGAGAGAGTGCGAGTATTGGGCTTGTTTACTTTGATATTATTCTGTGCACAAACTATAAAAAGGTGTTACAAAAATACATTTTGCAAAGTGAAAAAAGTGTTGAAAAAAACTTGTTGGATCACTTCTTTATTTCGCTTTAGAAAGTTGATATGTCTGTGTATGTCGGTTGTTTTAGGTTATACAGGTAAATAAGTGTGTAAAAGTGTGTGTGTGTGTGTGTGTTTTTTTTTCATAGATCGCAAAATATTACAAATCGAAAAAAAGGGAAATGCTCACAACGAAAATCTTCGGCTCAGACCGAAGGCTCAGTGCACAAATGTTGAGATCACACCGAAACTCTACGATTTGGCTAACATTTGTGCAGTATATAGGCTGATCATCGGGAGAAGCAAATGGCAAGTTATCGATCTATCGATCAATCGATTTGCTTGACCTTCTCTTTTCGTTTAATGTTAGGTTAGTATTGCTTCTAAGTTGTTGCAGCTAACTATAGTATCTAGTATATTAAGACATTATTTAGTAATATTTTGGTATTATTTTTGTTGTCGGTATTTTTTCATAATTGTATAGAAAAACAGAGAAATTATCTAGATAATTACTTTGTACAATACGAAATACATATATAAGTATATTAGTTAGTATGATATATGTATGTATAGGTATATATATATATATAGGTATATTAAATATATACTACACTACGGCAAGCCAAATGATATTCGAAATAAAAGAATAAAACATATATATATGGAGAATATGTTGTTGCTATGCATATCAATTTGGCCGCATCATCAGTGAAGAAATATCTCTCCATAAGCGCTCTAGAATTTCCGTTCTCTTGTGAGTTCTGTAAAGTTATTCTAAACTAGTTAATAATATATGTATTTATATGTAGGTATAATTAGAGATGCATAGCAGGCGCTAGTACTTATCCAACTATCCTGCCATTTGATTTTAGCCACAAGAAATGAACACCATATATAAAATAAAATATGTTAAACGAAACGATAGTCAAACACAGACAAAACTCAACTCGAACGCAAACTCAAAGACCTCGCTTGAGATAATCTTGATTTCTTTTATTATTATTATTTTTTTGTTTGTTTGTTAGTTTTTCTTGTTTATCATAGTTAAGTAGGCGATATACTATATATATCATATATACATTGAGTGGTAAGTATTTATTAGTCAACGGATACAACAACAAACTATAAAACTAAATGAAAGCCAAAGAAACGACATCAAAAACAACGTAGATGAAGTTACGTTTACAGATACGATAACGATTACGATAACGAGTACGGTTACGAATACGATTATTACGATTACGATTACGTTTACGTAATGCGAAACAACTTGGTTATGTTAAAACGTGAACAACAATACAAAGTATATATATATGTTTATAGATAGAGTATATGTTATAAAAATATTTTTTTTTTTTTTAGTTTTTGAAAAATTTTCATTTGAATTCAGGTTTTTGCTAAGAATTTTAGCATTTTTCTAGTATTTTGCTAGCGTTTATCTAGTATTGTTGCTAGTATGTTCTAGTATTTTTTTAGGTTTGTGTCATCTTGGACAATTCGACGCAAAGAAGTTTGCCAATTTTAAGGCATATTGGGCGCAGTTTGTGCAGAAAAGAAAGACAGAGACTATAAGATATGAAAGTGGATAGTGGTTGATTATGATGATGAAATAAAGCTGGAATCGAAAAATATAGTACAGATGATTATAGATTGTTATAGATGGAATTAAAGTTAAATAGAGCATTATACTGCAACAAAATACGTATGAACCTTAAAATTGCCAACGACTTTAGCGTTTGGGGCGTTCATATAAAAACCATAAAAATTGTGTTTTTACACTGTCAAAGTATATCAGGAGTAATAGACTAAAATTCGAGTACATTGACATTAGATTTGTTTTCTAGCCAAAAGACGATGGAAAAAATATGTTTAAGTCGGCATACATACAATGGATATGTATGTATGTTACGTTTACTGATACCAATACTGTTATCGACTAGCTAAAGTCTTTTCCGGACCCAAAAATAAATAAATAAATCAAAATTAAAATATACTTTTAAATGAAAAGAAATATCGAAACGGGATTTTTGATCATTTGTTGTTGTTACTATTACTTAAGCTAATTAGTAGACGACAATATACTATATTTGTAGATATATATGCATATTTGTAGCGGGTAATTACACATACATCATATATCTCTCTATAAATATTGAGATATTACGCTCTAGAGGCGCCTAAGTATCTGCATCTGGTATTTAATCTATATAAGCTACTCGTATACTAAATAGTTGGGTTTCGTATAGTTTAGTTTAGTTTTAGTTTTAGTTTTAGTTTTAGGTTTAGTTAGGTATATAAATAGTATAGATCGTATATTGTATAGACATGTTTTATTCTTGATGGTATTTTCATGTATACGTAAAATATACTGTAGTTGTTAGGTAATAATTAGCAATAACTAGACTTGTAGAGTAGATTACTTTAATGTATTGTTTACTTTAGTTTAGCTTGTATATGGTTAAATAAATATATCTATATATATGTATGTTGTATATATAGATAGTTCATCATATGGATCCTACGTAAAAGTATATATGGGTAACTTATTCAAAAATACTGGCAGACAGAAAAGATCATTCGATCGTTTCAAAGATGATCTTGAATGCGATCTGGAGCTTTGGTTTGTGGGATTTGGATATTTGAAATGACAAATGAAAATTGTTAAAAAGCATATAAATTGACTCATTTAGCTCGATTTGAAATCGAACAAAAGTTTCGTTTTTGTTTTTCATGAGTATTTGTATTTTGTGTTTTAAACAAATAGTGAGGAGTTCAAAAATGTGCTGGCTTTTTGTATGTACTTAAATTATATATGTATAAATATTCAAAAGTTTGCTGTAGCTGTATTTTTTGTTTGTATTTCTTGGTATTTTTAAAGCAGGATTTAACAAAAATTGTTTCCTGGTGTTCTTAAGTGGTAAATTGGTCGGGTCTGAATTGTTTTTGGAGTGGGCTCATAAGAGTATTGGTCGCTTGTCGTAAGTCATTGTTTAGTATCAAAAATAGTTGTCGTTGTAGTTGTAAGTTAACAGTTAGGTATAAAAATATGTATTCAAAGTATATGTGTGTGAGTATATGTTTAGCTGTTGTAGTTTTTTTTTTTTTTTTTTGGGTTTTGTTGGCTGCTTTGTTGTTAACTTACCTATAAATAAGAAAAATATAAGTAAACCTAATTCCCGCATTGAGGCTTTCAGAGTTCGTCCTAATATTTGTAAACCCTTCGAATGCCTAGATAACTTAAATATTCGAAATACTCGAACTAATCGTATCACTCGTAATATTGCCAAGGACATAGCCTGATTCGATGACTTGTCCTAAAAATTTATAATTATTTATAGATTTGTAGATTGAGATGTATGCAACAGGTTGTTTTGGTAAGTAGATCATTTAGATAAGGTGTATGTAAATACATATGTGTATATATATATATATGCATAAAGAGAATGTATATATATATATGCATGCATATGTATGTTTGTGTGTGAGAGAAAGTGTGTGCCACGAATTAATCGTTTCGAGTATTAGATTTTAGTTTAGTTTAGAGTTAGTAGTTAATGTACAACAATGATTCGCACTGTAATACGATATGGCAAGAGCACTAGGATAGGCATTTATAGGTAAGTAGTATATATATCAAGTATATTACGTAGGCAGAAGCATTGCTATTAAATCATAAGCTGATTATATATGTACGTATTTGTATATGTATATGTTCAATGTTTCTCGCAGTTGAGCACATTCATATCATTGTTAAAGTGAAATCATAAAATTCAAAGCAGGCAATTCATTTATTAATTATTAACAACAAAAGAAAAATCAAAAGAAGAAAAAAGATTAGTTTTACATTTTTTTTTTGTATGAAAGAAATTTTGTATATTTTCTTTCTTCTGTTCGAAACAGAAAAACATTTTAAACATAACACAAATGCAGTTTATTTTTCAATTTGTACTTTTTTAATATGTACAATGACTTGTTTTGTCGTGTGTGTTTCTGTGTGTGTGGGTGTGATTTAGCTTTACAGTTTTGGCCAAACAAAAATCTCATACCTGTGGACTGACTGGCGCTTTTGGAAGATTTAACGTATCCTCCTCTTCGGCAACGACAGTCGCTAGTGTTATAAAGTACGGAATGATGGCGATTATGTCGATAACATTCATGACATCCCTGCAGAAATTTAATTTGTTCGGACATGCGAGGAACCTGCGCGGTCGCAACACAAAAAAAAAATATAAAACAGAAAAGAAACAGAATATTGTACCAACGCGTTTTGACAGAGACGTCAAGGAAACACAAATACACAGAGAGATAGATATAGATTTAGAGAGAATGAGAGTCAGAGAGCGAGAACGAGAAAGAAAGAGGGAGAGAGAGAGAGAGAGAGAGAGAGAGAGAGAGACAGTGAGAGCGAGAGACAAACATAGTATGTTTAAGAGTAATACAGTGTGGAAAAGAAGAAGCAAAAAAAGAAAACGTACAAATATATTACATATATATATCAAGATGTTCTATCCATTGCATGAAATTTATTAAGATCTAACTAGATATTAAAATAAGTAAATCACGAGTAATTTAGCCAAGATCTAACTAGATATTATAATAAGTATATCATGAGTAATTTGGCCAAACTTAATGATCTTATCCTTGGTCTTCTTTAAACTTCAAATTTTTCTTATTTATTTAAGTTCCCCTTGAGTCTTGAATAGCCACCATCGGTTTGTATACAGTTCTAATAATGCTTCACAGTAATTTAGTTTGGTTTCGAAAAAAGGAATTTAGCTCAAGTTCTAGGATTCAGGCGCCTCTAAATATAGTCCCCATTGAATTGCGGGGGGCCCCGGGTCGGTGCTAGGTCTTATATATTGATTTATCGATAAACAATAAAGACTTAATGTTATTCATACCTGACAGTTAGTTCAAATGTAAACCAAATAATACATAACGTTTCTATAAGGAAGAAAGGATCTGTGATGTCAGGCACCTCGTCTTCCTCGATTTTTGTGCCATTTGTTGTTGTATTGAACACCTGCAAGAGACAAAACAAGCAGAAACCAAAAACACAGACAGGGAATATGTCAAGCGATTGATTTACAATCAGATATATCAGATATAAATATTGGAGTAGCTTTTGGGTGCTATGCTCGTCTGGTACGTACCTTGTAATGCTTAAATTCGGGTAATGTTTCTAGACAAAATATAACAATTGATAGCAATATAACAAATACACTAATTATAGCTACAACTCTGGCGGCTTGCGAGCTCTCCGGGTACTCAAAGAGCAGCCAGACTTTTCTTTGTTTCTCATTATCCGGTAATGGTCTTTCTTCCTCTTTAATAAAGCCTTCATCCTCTCTGCATGGGAAGATAATAAGAGATTGTCGGTTGTTAGCGACATTCGTATATGTATATGCAATGTGGTGTATGTGTGTGTGTTGAAGCTTTCTTAAAGCTCATTTCGACTTGTCTTGGAGTTGGCCCTAAGCAGCGTTTTGGTTTGGCAGCCAATTGGGGAGCTCTACAATTGCAGTGCACTAATTCAAATAAATCGCTTATCGATTACCGCTCATCGATAAATCGCAAGATCAATAACAGGTTGAAATGATAAACATGAAGCGTTGTGTTTTAGGTTTGATACGGTGCAATTTAAGCCTACGCTTAACTTCCGGCTTGTCATAGTGCTTCTTCCTCATCATCTTTGCTCCGGTTTGGCTTGAGCGACGCTGGCCACAGTGCCCCCTTTCATTGCCGTATGAACAAAATTTTAAGCTGGTGGTCAAGTGATTAACAAGTGATTCGACAACGGCCTCGAGCTTTCATACTCTTTCGTTCGTTCTATTGTCATGGTACAGCTGTCGAGTGTGTGCGTGTGTGTGTGTGCCAGTGTGTGTGTGTGTATCGGTCCTTCTCTCTTTCTCTGTGAATGTCCTTTGTGCATTTCCATTGTTTAATTCAATCCGCATGAAAGCCACAAAGTATGTAAAACGTTCAATAATTGCCTACTGAAGTCGATTGAATGAGAAGCCACAGATTTCAGTACGTAGTAACAACAACAGGTATAACAATAAGTATTGCTGCCATAAGTGTATGTCTGTGTGTGTGTGCGTGAGCCACTTCCCCTTTCATAATATGAACTCAATATTGTGGTTTTAAGTGTGGCATTCGAATAGCTGGGCTCAGGTGAGGGGAGCGTGGGGCCAACGTTGTGAGTTAAATACGTTTGATTTCTCCCCTCTGTGAAATATTCACTATTTATGTTCCCAATGACTCACACTTCCAGTTTCTTAAGGGTAAAGGAGCGAGTAAACATTATTAACAGGAGTGTCATACTTCCAAGTTGCATGCTACATACTATTTATCATGTACAACATATATCATGTTTAGTGCTTCAATATAGACTAATTTCCGTAATATATTATATTAAGAATTAATAACATTTGGTTGCATAGTTAATGGTAGTATATTGCCCTCTTTCATTTCCAAAATCATATTTATTATATGGCATATAAACACCTTGTCCTATATGTGATGTTCCCTGTTCCACCTAATTTACATTTATCATAGCCAATTTGTCTATTAGGGAGAGTGAATGCATGCAACATTTGATGTTTAGTGTTCCATTCCCTTGTTTCCCTATTACAAAACGGGTTTGTTTCGTGTATGTATGTATGCATATATAAAAGCTATTATATTGGATTTGTCATATTTCGAATACCATGTCTCGTATATATATATATATATGACATGTTATATATTACTTATTATGTTCCATTCTCATATTCTATAAAGTTAAATATCACATGACGAATCTGTTTCATTTCATATGTTTCACTTTTACACAAAACAAGAGCAGCTCCATTCACTCTCTATAATTGAAATACCACGTCGTTATCACAAACATGTATGGTATACGCATGTCATGATTTTCATGTTCCATTCTCTTGTTTCATATAACGAAACACTTGCGGCTCATTCGGCAAATATCAAACGCCACATTTCATATATCCCATATGATTTTTATGCATGGCTTGTTTTCTGTCATGTTCCATTCCCGTGTTTCGTATATTTTTTAACTCAAATATATGCCATGTTTCGTATGCCACATTCCACATACACTATAGCATCCGATATATTACTATGCAAGACAATTAATAGACAATAACAAGAGACTTTCGAAATATGTATGCTCGAATGCTACACTTTCAAGGAAATTCCCATGCTACATACATACTCAAATAATCAATAGCAATTAATATAATTTAGTGTGCAAAGGTGTAAAGTGGAAGTAGAACTGAAATTCTACTCAACTAATCAGATTATGCATTTATCAAATACTGCTGCGGTCTCTACAGTATGCAATCTACTGTGCAATATATGTATATAGTTGCTTGCTCGTCTGTTTCTGTGTGTGTGTGGGTGCGTGTGTGTCTGTTTGCGGTCTTGTGTGTCAGGTAACTAGGTGCCGTGTTGCATGCCTTGTGGGTAAGGAGCTTGGGTCAACAATCAGCTGCCGCCAATGAGCAAAACCAATTCGCTTTTTGCTGCATTTCAATTTTTGTGTAAATCTTCATATGTGTTTGTTGTTTTTATTTTTCATTTTATTTTTAATTGTATAGGAAACAAGTGGGAAAGTTTTAGATGAGAATGTCCGACTCAAAGATGATAAAAGAAACATTTGTTTTTAATTAAATTATTTAAATGATTTTGAAAGATTTTCATATTAATTTCAAAATTTAATACAATAAGAATTTCTTATATTATTATTTTTTTTTTCAATTCTAAAAGTTAAAATCCCAATATGGTTAATTATTTTTGACTAGTTATTTGCAAAGGTGCATTAGTTCGGGTATTTTTTAGTCGGACACTTTCTACTAAAGCATGCTCACTTGTTTCGTAGCATTCTCATTAATAGTTTAGGAATTTGTATAGGTTTTGCTTTTAGTTTTGTAATTTGTTGTTTCTGTTGGGTACATTTAAGGGGCAACCGGCTTACCTGAATTTATTAATTGCTTGATCACCTAATTCATAAAATTTTATTTCTTCACTAAATACGTCTAAGGGGACATTGACCGGTCTCCGTAGTCGGCCACCTGTGAAGTAAACGCAAGCGAATCGTAATCGTGTTGCATGCGTGTATGTGTATGTGTATGATGGGCGTGGCAGGTTGTATATAGAGAGTAGTGGCGTTAGTTTGTTGATGTTGGTATGTGGTATGCAGGATTTGGTATGTGGGAGAAGAGAAGAGTAAAAGTGAAGAGACATTAGAGAATCGTTCGACATAAGTGATCGGCACTTCAGTTGGTATTCTATCCATCTGGCTGGCCACTTACCACTCTGATAATAGTATAAAATCGCATCGAAGCTCGGACGACTACGGTCAAAAAAATATTCATTTCTAAGCGGGTCAAAGTACCGTAATCTTCGAGCTGGATCCCCAAGCAGTGTGTCCGGGAACTGATTTAGCGTACGCAGTTGTGTTTCAAACCTTAACCCGCTTACCTGGAATGCGAGCAATAATGCTTGTGATATAGAAATTAGTTGATTGGACAAATCGGGCACTTACATTTATAACGACTCTCTCGCAGAAATCATGATCGTGAGGAATGGGTTCAAAGTGTTGTGGTCCGCCACCAAAGCCATGACCAGCCCCCCCTTCTTCGTCTTGACTGCTCAATTTGGGCAAAGACCTGTTGATGAAAACAGAAGATATTATTTAATTAGATATGTTTTGCATAGCAGGATTGACTTAATAGCTCACTAAATTAACAATATCGTGCAAAGACAGAGTGTTTACTCTAAAAATCAGAGTAAGAGGTCAACAGCAATAGGGGAGAGAGAAATCGAAAGAGATATGGTCACAGATGAGAGCGCAAAAAAATGTGAAGAGTGAGACACAGAGAGAAAGAAAGAACAAAAATGAGGGACAACGAGGGAATGACAAAGAATCGTATAGAGAGAGAGAAAGAGAGGGTAAGAAAGAGAGGGAGAGAAAGAGAGAGAGAGAGACAGAGAGAGAAAGAGACAGACAGAGAGAGAAAGAGAGAGACAGAGAGAGAGAATGAATAGAAAGTTCGTATGCAGGGGAGAGAAAAGTAGAGTAGAGGTCGTATAGAAAAGAGTACATAGATATATAGAGGGGATAAATAAAAAAGAGGATAATAACAATAGATAAGAGAGAGAGAGAGAACCAAGGAGAGAGAAAGATAGGATAGATTAAGACTCTCAGAATGTGAAAGAGAAATGGAATGAGCAAACACAGATAGAGGAGAAAGATGAAAAGAGAAAGATGGATACAAAAGAGATCGCAGTAAATACACAGAATAGTATCGTGAGTAGGTCCTACCGAGAAAGAAAGAGATATTTACGTTGTCTTTCTTCATATAATTTTCTCACTTTGTACCCTAATTGCCTTGATTTCTACTTCTAAGGAGGGAGCGACGGAGATGAATAAAGCAGATCGGGCCAAAGACAAGGAACTGCTTAGCCTTAGCTTAAGCAGCGTATCCACACAGAATTCATTGGGAATGCGACAACAAACGTGAGCAATCCAACTGATGCAGCCATTTTTTAGCTGGAGGAGATGAAGCTGGTTAAGCCAGCTGTTATTTGTATGGTTTGTGTAAATCTGTGGCCTAAGCAATGTCGCTGCCACCACTGCGCCCCAATTAAAGATACTTTCTCCAGCATCTGCCGCTAAGCCCAACCAAAAGTCGCAAGCGACGCGCAGGGAAAACCTGTCGGATTTATTTGACTACAGAGAGGCAATCCAGCCCGCCAGCCAGTTAAGACTCGGGCTGGGCTACTCACTCTTATAGGTTCTTTGGGCGACAGCCCCGAGCTGCGGCTTAAAAAGTATTTACAAGTACTTAACTCTCATGAAAATCACAGATATTTCCCATCGAATGAGCCAATTGGATTATGTATTTAAATTTGCTTGAGAGTCCACAGCAGCAGGAAAATGTGAAACTGAATTTGTAGCTGAAACTGAATTTAAAGCTGATGCTAAAGCTGAAGCTAAACTCAAAGCAAATGCTGATGCTTGATCTGAAGCACTTTGACAATCGTCTGTGCTTGTCACATATTTTTGTACAAATATTTCGTATACTTGCTTTGCTCGTGCTGTTTGTCAACTCAATCTATAAAAATGAATGTCATAAATTGGAATTTGTTTTGGGCGAATTTCGTATGCAGAATGAAATATGCACGAGATGCATTATGCAGCAATCAAATCAAATGCTGAGCTGTAATTGATATTTGATGTTTGATATTTGATGGGCTGTGTGGTATTTGCCATTTGGTTGTTATTCATTTGGCTGTGCCTTTGGCTTTTGGGGCATGCAGTGTGGCAAGCCGCACCTGCAGCAGTCTCACCTCCCCTGCACCTGCCCCTGCCACTGCTCCAGCGCCAACCCCAACCGCAGTCACATGTGGCATACCGGGGCCCATTGAAAACCATTTAATGCGCATTCAACTGGCGGAAAATAGCAATACTTTTTGGCCCGATGCCCTGCCACACGCCACATGCCACACACCCCCGCACACCCGCACACCCACACCCACACACATAACTCTACCTCCTGCGCTTGCTGTAGCTGTTGCTGTTGCTGTTGCTGGTCTTGAGCCCGCGGCCGTACAGGAAGGCAATAAATGTTTACACATGTAATTGAAATTGTATTACAATCCACATAGATATGCCCACTCGCTACACATACACATATAAATATACACATACATATATATTGCAGCTGTAGTAAGAGGCGTTGCATATGAGGAGGCGCCACGGCTGGCAGAGTGCCCAAAATGGCAGCCAAAAGAATTTCATGCAGCCTTTCGCCCTTATCGCTGATGTTGCCAACAGTGTGCAGCTGTTTTCCCTGTTTTCATTTTCTTTTTTCGAGCTGCGGGTGTCCGGCCAGGCAGTCCTTTGATACCCTGCACACATGCAAAGCTTTGTCGAATTCTTTAATTGAAATTACAAGTGAAATTGCCTTCTTATCCTACAATAGCTCAACATTTATTAAGCCATAAACTACAGAGGAGCTAAGGAAGAGATATGAGAACGAGCTGAAGTACGACGCCTGGCCAAGTCAAGAGAGTAATGATCAAACCAGAGCTGGGGCTGGTAGTTCAAATATTAAATTAATTCTGAAGCTGTGCCAGCATCGCATTGATTCCATGCGACGCAGGAGCACAGCCTTAATAGAATGCAAGAGAATTTCAATTAAATATCCAACAAAAAAGAAAAAGAAAAGAAAAACTATAGATTATAATAATAGTTATAATGAAATTGAAAAAAAAAAAAATAGAAAAATAAAAGGGTTAAGTATTATACATGAAATTAAGTCTAATGACAAATAGTTTTTCTCCTAACTTAACAGCCACTATTATTTTAATGAAACACGAGTTACTGTTCATTTTTGTTCAGAGCACATGTTCTTGAAATAATAGTAAAAAAATGAAAATAAAAACAAGCAATAAATATAAAAAAAGAAAGAAAATAAAATATATAATTTTAAAAAGGTTGAAATAAAATAATATAAATTTTTTTTTTTTTAAAAAGGAGATAAAATAATATTTAAAGAAAATAAAAAAAATGAAATCCATTGAAATAAAATAATATGAATAAGATAAATAAATTAGTAAAAATTATGTTTGTCTTCATATTCGCATCGAATGGTTTTTAAAATATACTAATCAAATTACTTTCGACTAATCTATGTCGTATTGATTGATTGATATAGTAGCTTGAAATGTGGAAAAATTGATTAAAAGCTTAATTAAAGACTTTCTATGTATGTATGAACTTGATCAATGTGAGTTCTTGATCAATGATCACTATGAATGAAAATGGAATGGAACAGAGTGAAACAAATGCAGCTAAACAGCTGACAGCAAATAATCCAGAGAACTTTGTAATATTGTAATTTTATTTATTTACTAATTTTACTACCTCAAGTGGTTATTTTGGATACTAACTTTAAGGGGCAAGAGACAAAAAGAAATTAAATGAGTATGGATTCATTCATCGACCATCACACGTAGGGTATATGCGGCCGTGGGGCAGATGCAGATGCCGCTCCACTTTCTTTTTTCACAATTTTTGGCTGTCGAGGCGTTGTTGCATGGCATGTTGCCTGCTTGTGGGCGGACGGTGGGCGGACGGGGGGGTATTTAATTAAGCGTGTAAGTGCACGGTTGGCGGTCCAAGAAATGACAGACGAGCCGAAAATCGCCAGGCAAACCAGCAATCTAGTAAAGCACCTGCACACGCCTCACCCCCTCACCTGCTCATCCCCTCACCGCCCAACGCCCATGGCATGAAGGCGTTTGGATGGCTTCATATTTTGGCCACATAATTGCATATTTGATGACTCGCATAGATACACAGCTCCACTTGCCGCAGACACGATGGGCGTGCCAGGCGTGGGCGTCAGTGTGAGGCAACGAAATGCAATTCCGCATAATTGAGATGCCAACTGAGCCGAACACTTGGCCAAGCGGCAACGGCTGCGACTGACTAGGCCGACTCACTAGGCCGACTCACTAGGCGCGATGCTAACAAACTCAGCTTTGAGGTTATGCTGCATGCGTGTCGCGTTGCGTGTTGCATGTTGCATTGCGCATGACGTCAGCGTCGCACGTCAAGTGACATACATATGCATATATGTGTGTGCGTGTATGTGTGTCTGTGTGTGTGTGTGCTTATGCCGCCTTTTATTTTGCCATAAGCACAATCTGTGCATATGGATAATTAAGCACAGGCGACAGCGGTCAGGCAGACACACACACACGCACATACACGGAAGCACACACACGCACACACACGCACACACACGCATACATGTACATGAAATGTCAACAAACAATTGAAGTTTTATGCAAAACGCCAACACAAAACTGCATGCGTGGGTGTGTGTGTGAGTGTGTGCGTGTGTGTGCTCAGGTTGAATATTCATTCACACACACACACGAACTACTTGATGGGCGGCCTGTTTTCTCTCTATGCTAGCGTTAGTGTGTGTGTGTGTGTGTGAGTGTGTGTGTTTATCTATGTAAATGTTTTGGCTGTTGCGCTCTCGCTCTATCACATGCCGCAGATCTCGAACTATATGCATATGCATGTGTGCGTATATGGGTCAGCGGCACGACTGTGACGTCATTGTGCAAGCATCGCGCAACGCCACGCCGTGTCTCGACCTATTTTTTGAAGCCGGGCTAACATTTTCATTTGCTTTTACACGCTGCTTCGCATTCGCAGTCGTATTCGCAATCGCATTCGCATTCGCATTCGCAGTCGTATTCGCATTCGAATTCGGATTTTGTTGCTGCACTTCCGGTTGTGTAGCAGGCGTTGCATAAGCAGCTACGGCTTCTGCATGCAGCTGAAGTTCAATGCGATAGCAGTGCCAAGTCGAAAGCAGGTCGACTCTAGTGCAAAATCACAGCTCATAAATCTTATGGACAGCATCATCTTGGTAGGCCCTACCCCCAACCCCCCTAGTCGACCCGCTCGCAGCACCCGACGACCCCTTTCCACGCCTTGCTAAGCCTCTCACTTTGCCTGTCTGCCTCTGTGTGCGTGCGAGTGTGTGTGTGTGTGTGTGTGTGTGTGTGTGTGCTCTTGTCTGAATGCATGCCGGTCAAGGCAACACGAGTAATCTGCTCTCGCACTGGCACTGTCTGTCCA